TCAGGCGACCCAAAAAAGCATTACAGCTCTTTCTCTATCTATCACATTCCACTCAGCTGGGTGGCACCCTGTGACTGTGAACACTGCACTCATTGTGTGGATTGTGACGGCAGGGGCCACATTCCATGACTTCTCATAGCGAACGAAGCCGTGCACTTGTTCTCTAAACTGAGGGCACAAGCTGAGGTTCAGAGAATGCCCCCCTGGCCGTCAATGTAAGATTGATTCACTGAAGGTGCTGACTCATTGCAATCTCCCCGTGTAAACTGGCATACAGTGCCTGACGTTTTTCCACTGAAGGCGGGTCCAAAACTCAAGAGGGGCACCTTTCAAACATGTTTGGAACATGTTGTGGGGAAGTCCAAATCGCACCTTTGTGGGATGGATGCGTCCAAAACTCACAAAATCTGTGAAACCGCATCAGGCTCCAGGTCCACTTGCCCGCCAAGCACGCACACAGGCCGCAGCGGCATCAGCTTGGTGGCGGAGCATCCGCCAGCATCCAGCCTGGCGCTTGGCAGTGGAAGCAGAAGGGCGATAAAAAGGGACCCTGCCTAACCCTAAATGCCACCTTCAACCCCTCACACTGGTTGAGCTTCTTCAAGTTGAGCTTGCTTCCAAACGTCAGCACTGACACCTGGTCGGTTGTTCCGTCTCAACCCCAAACAAATTAAATGTCAATGGCCTTTTTCTTTTTATCCTTCTCCTTCTCCTTTTCCTTCTCTTTGCCCTTGTCTTTGCCCTTCCTCCTTTTCTTTTTGGGTTTGTCGTTGTCCTCCCGCTCTTCCTTTTCATCAACAGAAGACTTTGTGTCAAGGACAAAGCACAAGGCTTTATCGTTCACGATTTGCTCGTTCGCCATGTCCAGCTGGTGGTGCGAAAACCCTACCTTCACCTGCAGGTCGCCACAGCAAGATCCACGCATGAGAAGCGCACGGCTTCTCAGATAGGGGTCCGGCTGCGGGGTTGTTGCAAACAAAGTTTTGCTGGGCCAAACCTTTTTGTTTACAACAGGCTTCCCTACGTCATTGGCAACGGGGAGGGGGAGGGGAGGTGGTTTCCGGACAACTAAAACTCTAAGGGTGCAGAGTTATTGGCCTCATGACACCCTATGGAAATTTACTCGAAATAGTGTCAATCTCATCTAACTGAACTTAGCCAAGAATGTGTGCCGTTTGTTTGTGTGGCGGGGGGGGGGGGGGGCTTGAATTGGAAAAACAGTTGGCAGCTCTATTCAGAACGGGTAAATGTGGCAACTATGCCCAAAGCAACTGGGACTCCTTGAGGTGCGGGGCCTTCATGTTCAGTTGAATCGAACTGACTGGTTTCTAAGGGAACTTGCAAATACAATCCGTAAGCATACTTTGAAACGTTTCCACACAAATTGAGTTGCAGGATCACTTGCTTCATTCATGATGCGACTCACCCCAAAAGGTGTCCAGCTGTGTCATGTGACATGCAAAACGCTTGTGGTCGACGTCAAGCTAGCCTGAAACCCGGCAGTGCTTCTATGCTAGCCAGCCAAGGGGCATAACGGATGAGCATCATTTGAGATCGTCTTTTGAGATCACACACCGAACGTAGGGCTCAAACGTTATAGTTGTTTGGTTTTCTAAACTTGCAACGGATATCCCTGGCGCAGTCACGGCTCTTGCCCACTGATGCCTCTCCGGCGTCTTGCAGTTCGCTGAGAACCTGGCGAAGCGGCGCCGCTTTCTCGAGGCAGGGCAGGGAAGCCAAGTGGGAAAGGAGTTTCTTGCGCTCCAAGATTATGGGCGTCTGCCAGCTGAGCTTGAGGGGGATCCACTGGCCATCGGATTCCATGGCCTCAACCGCGCATGACCCGTCATACCAGGACCCGCTCCCGAAGCTGAACATCTCACGCCCGGACAGCAGTGTGCAGCCCTCGGACATGGCTTTGAAGTAGATCGCATCGCCACTCTCGGGAACCACCAGGCTCACTTGCGAGTTGATCACCAGCTCTGACCTTGCACAAAGAGAACCCTGAAAATTGAAATTTGAACTATTTCGGCGCAAGCTCAAAACAATTCCCGGAAGAGGGCAACAGAACCCGCAGGTGCCCGACTGGAGGCCCCGACGGGTTGGGAAGCTCTACCAGCGTCTTCGCAGTCAGAGGCTCGGATGTCTTCAGCAGCACAGCGTGGGTGGGCTCGGGCTTTGAAGGGCTAGCCGCTGGCCCTGGCTCATTCACCAAACGCACGCCGTCCGGGTTGTACTTTTCGTTGTGATCACTGATGATGGATTCAAACTCCGGCACCTCGGCAAACTGTTGAAAGAATGGCTCCTTCACGACCAGAGCGCCGCAAGGTTGGGGCGATGTGACCTTGAAGGAGTCATGGGAGCTCTCTGTTTTTCCACCACTATCGCGTTTCAGCTCATCCACAAGCAGGGCAAAATCCGGGAAGCCCTCCATCTCAACTTTTTTGTTTCTGCAAGCTTCGTAGCTTGCAGTGGCAATCCTCTCCATCAACTTGTCGCCGCGAGACGAATCCCCATGCACCAGCGTGGCGCAAACCGTTGATGGAGTTTGCACCTTCAGCCAACAACGCAGTGGCTTTGGGTGTCGCTTTGAATCCAAAAAAGTTCCTGGATAGCATGTGGTGCATGAGGCCTCAAACTTATAACTTACCTGGCTTCTTGGTGGAGCTGATGTTTGCAGATAAAAGCCTAGTCACAGGTCAAGGGAAAGCGGGTAGCAACTTGAATAGGGAGTCGGCCAATCCAAACTTCCCCGCGCGCCAATCCAAACTTCCGCAGGGTAGTTATCAAAGGAAGTTTAGCGAGAAAACTTCCGTAAGAAGAAAAGTGGAGTTAGACAGGCGAAGCGCGCGAACAGTACCCCTGTTCAGCGTGCGGTCTCGCCACGGGCTCGCCACGGTCTCGCCACAGGCTCGCCGCGGGCTCGGAAAGTTCCCCAATGGCACAGACGCGCGCAATGTTTCGGAGGTGCAACTCGCGTGGCAGGCGCAGCATTTTGTTTCCATGCCAGGTCAAGTACAGATTTCGTGACAGGCGCAGCACTCTCGCAATGTGGAGTACAGATTTCGTGGCAGGTGCAGCACTTTCGCAAGGTCAGGTGATAAATAGACAATTAAATCAAATGCAAAGAGAGAGAGAGAGAGAGAGAGAGAGAGAGAGAGAGAGAGAGAGAAAGAGAGAGAGAGAGAGATAAAGAGCGAGAGAGACAGAGAGAAAGACAGAGAGAGAGAGAGAGAAAAACAAAAACACAGGCAGGCGCAGCACTTTGGCAGCCTGAGGTGCAAATCGCGCGCAGCATGTTGCAGCCGTGCAAGGTCAAGTGCAGATTTCGCGACAGGCGCAGCACTTTCGCAAGGTGGAAAACAGATTTCGTGGCAGGCGCAGCACTTTCGCAAGCTCAGGCGATGAGTACAGATTTCGTGACAGGCGCACATTTTATCCAGGTGAAGTACAGATTTCGTGGCAGGCGCAGCGCTTTCGCAAGGTCAGGTGATAGATTTACAGATAGGTCGAGTACAGATTTGGTGGCGGGCGCAGCATTTTCGCGTGGTGGCTTGGACGCTGTAGACCACCTCCGTGCTGCGGGCCCACAGGCTGATCATCGCGTTCACGCTAGATCGACCGATCGATAGATCGATAGATAGATAAAAGGAAAGAAAGGCACAGATTTCGTGGCAGGCGCAGCACATTCGGATATTTCACGTGATGGATTGATAGATAGATCGATAGATAGATAGATAAAGGGAAAGAAAGTACTGCAAGAAAGAAAGAAAGAAAGAAAGAAAGAAAAAGAAACAACGAAAGAAAGAAAGAGAGAAAGAGAGAAAGACAGAGAAAAGAAACATGAGAAAGAAAGAAAGAAAGAAAGAAAGAAAAGAAAGAAAGAAAGAAAACAAGAAAGAAAGAACAAGAAAGAAACAAAGAAATGAGGAAAGAAAGAGAAAGAAAGAAAGAAGATAGATAGAGAGAGAGGGAGAGAGAAAGCAAAGAAAAATACAGAAAGAAAGAGAGAGAGAGAAAGCAAGAAAAAGACAGACAGAAAGAAATACAGGAAAGAAAAATGAAAAGTGAAGCAAGAAGAAAGAAATACAAGAAGAAAGAAGGACAGAAAGAAAGAGAAAAATAATGATAGAAAGAAAGAAATAAAGAAGGAAATAAATAAAGAATTAAATAAATAAAGAAAGAGAGAAGGACACAGATAGAGAGAGAGAAAGAGAAAAAAAAAGAAAGAGAAAGAAAGAAAGCAAGAAGGAAAGATAGTGAAAGAAAGAGAGAAAAAGAAAGCAAAAGAAAGAAAGAAAAGAAAGAAAGAAAGAAAGGGCAACAAAAATCGCATGCCAAGCCTTTCCTACAGGCACTCTTCTCGCTTTTGAAACTTCCACCCACCGGCTCCGCCGGCTGTACTGGTACACTTCACATGCTTATCCCTAAACTCCCCCCCCCCTCGCCGGTACTACAGCTCACAACTCCCTCAGTTTTTGGGTAGGAGCTTCATACCCCGTTTTAAGGGTGTGAGTGTGCGTATCACCCAAGCAGTGAAATAGAATCATGTGTTGCTAGGGCTCCAGAAGTTCTAAGTTGCAGCAAGTCTGAAGTGATCCGTAGTGCCACACGGGTTTGGTTTTCCAAGAGGGGGCTAGCATAAAACATTCAGTGAATTGCAAGTGAAGCCACTTGCTAAACTGAGTTTCTTGAGTTTCTTGATGCCTGTTACAATATTCCGAGTTTTGGATCGACAGCAACCCAAGCAGGCCTCCAGACAATGCATGGCTGGCCAGCCATCATACCCATGTGCGTCAATCCACGCCACTCGCTCCAACGAGGCTCCATCGCTGAGCTGCTCTTGGACCTTGCGCACCAGATCTGTGCCAGCAGCGACCTCAGGGGCACGACAGGCTCACTCTGTAACACAAACACGGGTTTGCTGGTGCCCAGTTTTGAGGCTTTTTGTCCGAATACTATGTCCTTTACAGCAAGCCAAACTGTTGGCCTGATTCATTTCAGTCAATGGCCTGCTTGTACTCCTGCGTGTCCGTCATCGCAGACTGCATAGTCAATGATGACTGTGAGGGCTTATACATCTCGGCACGGGGGCACATCTGCACATCATGAACGATGCCCCTGCGCCACGCAGAGGACTTCCAGAAAATGTTGGTGCCCCCGCCAGCCATGCGGGCCTGAGAAACTCACTGGCTAAATCTTGAAATAGGGTCTCCCCGTGAGTCAGACGCAAACGATAGACTGAGATCATTTAACGGGAAAAATTGCGTTATTGTTGCTGGGGGTTGAGCAAACCCATTCGGTCTCATTAACTACTGTCGAGATGCGGTCACCATCAAAGACTTCAAGAATCCTGACCTGCGCCCATATGTGGATGCAACGTTGAATGTGATCAAGAGGTCCTTCACAGACAGCATTCGCGCAGGCTGGCGCAAGGTGATCTCAAACCGGTGGCGAAATTCTGTTAGAAGCTGTTGTTCCTCAGAAGGGCCATCCTCATCCCTTGACTCATCGTTGTTTTCATCTCCGCCTTGATCGCTATCATCAGAATCCGGCTGCTTCACTTCATCATCAAACAAGTCATCGCCCGGCTCATCTTTGGTTTTGCGCCTGGAAGAGGCACGTTTTGGGAAACGGCGAAGCACTGACCCAAAGGGGTAACCCAAAATCTAGCTTACAATGCAAGCCAAACACAGTGGGTCACATCGTGTTTAGCTTTTCAAGACTTGGAATAATTGCGATGCTTTGACACGTGTTGCCTACTTCCCCAAAGCCCTAGCCATGAAGAGGGTCATGCTCTCCCTAAATTCTGTCAATCCGTAGACCCAGCATTCCCGCAAACACAAGTTTATGATTGGGCCCGTCTTCTAGAATGTTTGGCCGGCTGTTCTTAATTGGACTGTTGGCATTCATTAAACATTCTTGCTAGCAAGAAGTTTCAACAAGGATGGTTTGGGGTTTGGTGTGTCCCCGACTAGTTCCCAATCTTTGCGTGCGTTCTGAGGTCAAGACCACCTGCCCCTTCAAGCCTGGAGAGGACACTGGAACGGGAAGGTTACGTCGTGGTTTTGCCATAGAAAATCATAGGGTCTCAGCCAAATCTTTGAAAGCTTCTCACCCCCAATTTCCGATGCTGTGTGACTGGGGCCCCTACTTTTTGGTCTTGGCTTCCGAAGCTCGGTTGGCGTGGATGACGATGGCAATGCTGTTGGATGGCCGTGCTGCCAAGAATCCGGTAATCAAGTCAAAGAAGAACTGTTGCTTCCCAGCGGGCACCACACCAACGGTTGGGAGGCACACGTAGAGGATGTAGCCCTCCTCCTCCTGCTGCCGCGCGTAACTGGCGGCATCCATCCTTTCCTCAAGCCATGGAAGAAGTGTCGGCAACACGGAGCCATCCTTGGCAACTGACCACACTTTCAAGTTGTTCTCCACGTAGTTGTTGACCAGGGCCCACGACTTGGTGTGCCTGGGCTGCGAGCATGGTGAGGCACAGAGCTGCATGTCCATCTCCATGCATTTTCAGGAGAGAGTGTGACGCAACTAATTTCTGAGAAAGAAATCGGGGCCGCAGCCCATAACAGAACAACAACTCTCCTTCAAGGCAAAATGCAAATATCCAACTTTTCAACACGGTCAATATGGTCGGGGACCAACAAGCTTTTGGAGGGGAAGACTTGCAGAGGACGATACGCATTTCGGATGACGAGACAGAATCAAGTGAGCCACTTCCTGAACTTAGTATTCGCAATTGACATGGTAAGGCGAGTGATTTTCAGCGAATTGTTTGATGGCACTTGGCGTGCGGATGTGTTCCACTGTACTTTGCCCATTCCAATGTCTCAGAGGACCCCTACTTGGTTCACACAACTCTTTTGACAAACAAGGTGGTGCACACAAATAGGTAGGTTGCATCGCTCGACAAGTCGCATCTCCTGGAGCCGGCTTAGGAGCTCCTTTCGCTTGCGGCTGCTTTCCTTGCAGTTCCTGGCTGCGTCAAGGACAGAAGCGAAGAGGGGGGCTGAAGGGTTGGATTGGGTTTTGCTCCCTGGCCTCAGCTTCATTGCCTCGTAGGTAGCTTGGTCTGCGTCGAGCTGTGCTTTGAAGTAGTTGTAGGCAGCTGCGATCGAAGCTTTGTGCGCGTTCTTTGTCTTGGATTGCGCGGCTCGGACGTAGTCTTCTTTGTGCTTTCCGACCGCCTGATGATTCAGACAAAGGACTGATTGCAAGAGAAAAGGCTTTCATGATTCAACCAGGTAGCCCGCCTCAAGCACGAAAGGGATCCGTTCCCAGTCCAACTGCGGGTCTGCTGCCTTGCAGCAGGAGTCCAGGTCTTGGTCTAGTAGCCTTGCCAAAGGGTGCATTCCCAGGAAGAAAGCTGATCCTGGTAAAAAGTCAGACTAGAAACAGCCAGCTTGGACTTGCAACAGTTTCCGGAACCCTGCGGACCCTGCTACCCCTAGCCTGCCACCCCTAGGGTTCCTCGCGCACAAACACATCAACAGGTCCAGCTGGGAATGCGGTTGGCGTGTAGGAATGGTGGGCAGCCAACTTTGCCCCTAGCAAAAATGTCAAAACAATGTTGTTGCGCGGCATCAGCCAGCTTCCTGGAAAAAATCCAAACCAAATATTTGACAGGTTTTCTTGAACTAGACCACCCCCAAATGAATGTGTGACAAGTTTTGGGAAACACGGTGAAAGGGCTTTGAGACAATTTTCCCATCTAGTCAAATCCAAACCAGTTGGGTGACGCTTCTGGAAACATATCCTTGCTTTAGCCGTCCCAGATGAATGTGCGGCGGGTTTTCTGGAAACCTGATGACACTTCTTTAGCCAACTTTGCTCAACCAGCCAAGTCCCAAATGAATGTGCGACGGGTTTCTGGAAACCTGGTCACAATTCTTTGGCCAACTTTGCTCAACCAGCCAAGTCCCAAATGAAAGTGCGACGGGGTTTCTGGAAACCTGGTCACAATTCTTTAGCCAACTTTGCTCAACTAGCCAAGTCCCAAATGAATGTGCGACGGGGTTTCTGGAAACCTGGTCACAATTCTTTAGCCAACTTTGCTCAACTAGCCAAGTCCCAAATGAATGTGCGACGGGGTTTCTGGAAACCTGGTCACAATTCTTTAGCCAACTTTGCTCAACTAGCCAAGTCCCTAGGCAACTTGGGCTGGAAGCCAGTCATACTCCCAACTGCCGCCTGTAAGCGCGAAATGCGACTGGGTTTCTGGAAACCCAGTCACGATTTGCCCCCCTTTCTTGAGGAGGAATCACACATTCAGACACGCTTCTGGGTTCCAAGGTGCGACCTCCCCACTCTAACACCCCCCAAATTGCGACGGGGTTTCTGGAAACCCAGTCACACTTTCAACGGGGGCGTGTGTCTTGGAACCTTGACGGGTTTTGAGGGGTTCGTTTGATTGTGGGTCAAATTGGCCAAGTAGCCCGGTGAGCCACATCTCGTCGAGTTTTTCCATCGTGCTGCCATCCATCGCGTTAGCCAGCTTTGGTCGCAGCCAGAGCCACAGAAGCGTATTGTCCATGATTTGCTGGTGCTCGTCCAGGTTCAGCTGGGCAGCTTTCTGCAGCCAGGGAATGCCAAATAAGTTGAACACGTTGCCTTGAACATTGAAAGGTGGTTTGAAGATACACGCCTAGTGGTCTTTTTGGAAGACGCCTGGAGACAATTGGGGGGTAGAACTTTTTCACGGCGTTCAGAAGGAAATGGAAACAGCGGTCCTTCTTCTTGGCCGAGGACTCCTTTGTCACCTGGTTGGTGAAGAGCTGGTTGACCCTCCCACAGTACATCACGGATGATGCGGGCGTGACGTGCATGATGGCCCTCCACAAGTCCTTGCCACGGTATCGGGCAGCCTCCCACCGATCAGTTCCTGGCACGAAGTGGCCGTTTTCCAGGACGTCGTACGGGAAACCTGCGCGCAGCGATGAACAAGCGGACAAAGAATACGAAAACACAACAAGTGCAAAATGATTCACCCAACCCAACCGCTCAATGATTTGATTTGCGGGCACATGGTCTTCAACTGCAAGACTGGCCAAGGAGTGGTCAAACTCAGGCACGGTGAAACCGCACTTGGACCGGGTGTGCTGGTTCACGCATAGGTCTGGGTGGCAAATTCCGGGGAAGCGGATTTGCGTGTGCTCCCCCTGCTTCAATCCAGCGAAGCGGGTGAGCGTTGTATCTTGGACGCCCGTGCTGTCCTGCAAGGCCTTTCAAGAAAGTGATGGCTCGGCCATACTGGGATAGGGTCGTACTTACGCTGGAGTTATAAGTGACTTAGCACTTAGCTTGGACTTATAAGTAACTTATCTTGAACTTAGAAAAGAGGTTTGTCTAAGTCCGCTAAGTTCATTCTAAGTTCATTGAGTTTGCAAACACATGCGTTTTGAAGCATGGCAGTGATGAAGCATTACGCGCTGGAAATCACACATTTTCGTGTGACTCAACGCAGCAGGGCAGGCGCGCGCGCGCATGCAGTTTACGCTGTTTGTTCGCGCTGCTTCGCACGCTTGGCTCGATGGAGCCGGAGCATTTTTTGCACTGATTGACTCGGTTTAATTTTGTTGTGCGATAATCGTTTCTATATAGTGTCTCCGCTGGCGGCCGGTCCGCCTTCATATAGTCGCATGGGGTGGTTTCTCCGCCGGCGGCCGGTCCGCCCATTTTGCTTTTCTCGTTTGATGATATATCATTGTAGCGGTGGTTCCGCTGGCGGCCGGTCCGCCAAGCTTTTTTTGCCACGTTCATTTTCATTTCGAGATGGCACTTGAAGCGGTTGTCCGCTGGCGGCTGGTCCGCCCAGGAATTGTTCGGCGTGATTTTTATTTCGAGATGGCACTTGAAGCGGTGGTCTGATGGCACCTTGCGATTTTTTGCATGTTTGGATTGTGAGTGCGCGGATGAAAGGCTGCAAGACTCAATCAAGGCTCCAGAATCCAGACTGCTGACTGCAAACTCCACACTCCAGACTGCAGACTCCAGACTGCAGACTCCAAACTGCAGACTCCAGACGGCAAACTCCAGACTCCAGACTGCAGACTCCAGACTGCAGACTCCAGGCTGCAGACTCCAGACTGCAGACTCCAGACTGCAGACTTCAAACTGCAGACTCCGGAGTGCGAACTCCAAACTCCAGACTGCAGACTCCAGACTGCAGACTTCAGACTGCAAACTCCAGACTCCAGACTGCAGACTCCAGACTGCAAACTCCAGGCTCCAGAGTGCAAACTCCACACTCCAAACTGCAGACTCCAGACTGCAGACTCCAGACTGCAGACTGCAGACTCCAGACTGCAGACTCCAGACTGCAAACTCCAGACTCCCGATGCAGACTCCAGACTCCAGACTGCCAACTCCAGAATCAAGACTGCAGACTCCAGGCTCCAGAGTGCAAACTCCACAGACAGACTGCAGACTCCAGACTCCAGACTGCAGACTCCAGACTCCAGACTGCAGACTCCAGGCTGCAGACTCCAGACTGCAGACTCCAGACTGCAGACTTCTGACTCCAGAATCCAGACTCCTGACTCCAGAATTCACAGTCCAGACCCCAGAATCCAGCATCCAGACAGCCCCGCCCCAAAGCCCGGAAAGGCCGGTGCAGTTTTTTCGAACTTAACAAAACTTAACTTAACTTAACCTGGGCGGGTCGTGTGGAGCCGTGGAGTCCCTATTGTAACTCAATCAACTTAACTGCCAAACTTTCCCCGTGAGGCCCAGTTGCGTCACCACGACTTAACATAACTTAACTTGGCCCCGTGGCCGAATTCCACCACAAAATGATCAGGATCCTGGAGCCAGGAGTCATTGTGTCTGGAATCTGGAATCCCGAGTCTGCAGTCTGGATTCTGGAGTTGGCAGTCTGGACTCTGCAGTCTGGAGTCTGCAGTCTGGAGTCTGCAGTCTGGAGTTTGCAGCCTGGAGTCTGGAGTTTGCAGTCTGGAGTCTGCAGTTTGGAGTCTGCAGTCTGGAGTCTGCAGTCTGGAGTGTGGAGTTTGCAGTCAGCAGTCTGGATTCTGGAGCCTTGATTGAGTCTTGCAGCCTTTCACCCGCGCACTCACAATCCAAACATGCAAAAAATCGCAAGGTGCCATCAGACCACCGCTTCAAGTGCCATCTCGAAATAAAAATCACGCCGAACAATTCCTGGGCGGACCAGCCGCCAGCGGACAACCGCTTCAAGTGCCATCTCGAAATGAAAATGAACGTGGCAAAAAAAGCTTGGCGGACCGGCCGCCAGCGGAACCACCGCTACAATGATATATCATCAAACGAGAAAAGCAAAATGGGCGGACCGGCCGCCGGCGGAGAAACCACCCCATGCGACTATATGAAGGCGGACCGGCCGCCAGCGGAGACACCGCTATAGAAACGATTATTGGACAACAAAATTAAACCGAGTCAATCAGTGCAAAAAATGCTCCGGCTCCATCGAGCCAAGCGTGCGAAGCAGCGCGAACAAACAGCGTAAACTGCATGCGCGATGGCTCACTGCGCGGTCCTGCCGCGATGGCTCACTGCGCGGTCCTGCCGCGATGGTCGCTGCGCGGTCCTGCCGCGATGGTCGTTGCGCGGTCCTGCCGCGATGGTCGCTGCGCGGTCCTGCCGCGATGGTCGCTGCGCGGTCCTGCCGCGATGGTCGCTGCGCGGTCCTGCCGCGATGGCTCGCTGCGCGGTCCTGCCGCGATGGCTCACTGCGCGGTCCTGCCGCGATGGTCGCTGCGCGGTCCTGCCGCGATGTGTTTTCCAAACATGGAAGCGGCCCCGCCGCCGCTACGCCGTGTTCCGCCCTGCGCGGTCTAGCCGGGAGCGACCGTACGTCTCGAAAAATGATGCGCGCGCGCGTAGTCCGGTGTCAGGCTTTCTCTCTCGTTCAGCGATGTGGTCCGCAACATGTCAGGGGTAGCGCACGCGTGCTTTTTCGCACGCAGGCAGACACGTAGACTCAGCGAGGTAGACGCGTTTGGGACATTGCTTCGCAAGCGCTGAATGACCGAAGGCTGTTTTCCTCAAATGGTGCTAAAAAGCTAAGTCCCAGCTAAGTTCATTCTAAGTCCCGGCACCCGGAACTTAGCTCGAACTTATAAGTGGGCCTATCTAAGTTAAACATAGACAAGTAACTTATAACTATCCTCGGACTTAGCAAACTTATAAGTCCACTTGTCCCACGTTATAAGTCCACTTGTAGTAACTTATAACTCAAGTTATAAGTACGACCCTATCCCAGTACTGAGGGTAACTCGACAAGCCGTCAGCCAACTCTAGCAAGTCAGCAGCACGATCTGCGTCTACATCGAATTTCACACCGCGGCTCTGGGCTGCAGATTGCCAAAACTGGCGCACTTGATCACGTTCAGCTCCAGGCCAAACCAGCAAAGCAGGCTGTGACAGGTCTTGATCGCACATTTCCTGCTTCACCAAGCAGAACACATCAGCCTCATCAGGCTCGTATCGCCAAGGTAGTCGCTCTGTCCGAGGTAGATTGGGAGGCAAGCCTAGGCCAGTAAACTGAAAGAAAAAACGGCGTGCCAAGGGTGTAGTAATTCAGAAAATCGGCCCGCTTGAGCCGGCTGGCAAGTGGCTATCCCGCCGTCGGAACACAAAGCTATGCGGAATCCGGTTGTCCGCGTTGCTGCGGGGGCGGTAGGCGTTGCTCAGCGTGGCGATGTGAGGCATGAGCCCCTTCCAGTCTCGCACCTCAGCGCAGGCTACGGAATCAAGAACGGTAACACTGAACACTTCGCCCTAAGTGCGCCAAGGCGCACGGTCCATGTGCACCACACGGAAGAACTCACCGCGAGCAGTAAACACAGGCCCAATCGAGGATTCCAAAAGCCTGGCAGTTGCAAACAATGAGTTGGATGGTGGCTAGTCAAAGGGCAGGCGAGTACAAGTTAAGATGCCCTTGCCTATGGAAGTCGGCTGTAGTTTGGAGAGTGTCGCCCATGCTCATCAGGCATGTTGTCAGCAATCCGAACACGGAGTCTTAGTGGATCACGTGTTGCTGCAACACGACAAACGTGAAGCGCCCACAAAAACCCTAAAAGTGTTTGGCTAAGTCCAGTTGCCTACGTCCTCATGAGTGTGACCCACCACCAGGTGGTGGTGGGCACACTCGTCAAAGTAGTGAGACTGGAGCAATGCTGACATCATTTGTCCGCTAAGAGCATTTTTAATCTCGCGGACAGTGTGGTAGGTGCGGTTGACCCTTTCGAACACCCCTCCCTTTGGAGGTCGGCCACGTGGCCAGCGCGGCAGCGCCGGCTTGCTTTTGTCATAGCCGTCGCATATTAGGGTCAGGAGGCCATCGCCAGCGCGAGACTTTTGGCGAGCAGCCCAATACACTTCTCGGCACTTCCAGGTGCGGGCGAGATGCCCCAAAAGGCGATCAGCCGACACAGCGTGCTGCATAAAGCTCTTGGCGTGCCGCATCTCGGACTTCAGTTTATCGCACGTCTGGCATGTGGAGTGCTGTGATTTCGGGTGGAACTTCAAGGCCCCCCGCCACTCCTTGCTGACTTGGTAGAAAAGCGTGCGGCTTGCAGGCCGCTCGTTGCTGGCGACGCAATACGCTTGATACAGCACAAACAGCCCGCTCCAATTTCCAGGCGGAAGCTCTCGCGCTGCCAGGTCGCGAGGTTGCTTTGCCAGTCTAGTGGTTGGGCCCTCCAAAGCCTGACTCATGAGTTCCCGCATCAGCAAAGAGCGCGCCGCTTCAGACTCCAGGTTCATCGCGTTGGGCACAAGCCTGAGTTGCACTAAGTAGCATCCGGGCATGCCACGAAAAAGTACACCAGAATAGAGCGAATAGAGCCCAGATAGCAAGAATGTGTTGTCAGCCAACGAACTAAAGCTAAAGATGCCCATTCCAATACAGCGACACACATGCCATGCCACCGGAGCGGCAAAATAATTCTGGTTCCGGCAATTCGCTTGCCAAAGCCTGCATAGACAATATTGCAACATTGGCGCTTAAATGCCAATGCTTAACGGGCCGCCTCTCAGAGCCGATGTTTTGCGGATTTGCATAACGCGCCGGGCAGAGCGGCCAAAACATTTCTCACAACAGGGTGCTCTGGCAATGCGCTTGCCCAAATCTGCATAGATAAAATCACAACATTGGCACTCGCTTGCCGGAGCTCTGGTGGGTTTGCATAACGCGCCGCCCCTCGGAGCCTATGTTTGGCTTCGCCAACGCGAGATGATAGCCAGAAGAAAGTGCTCCTGGAAAACTGTGCGAAGACTACAGCGCCAGGACCCGGCGCGCCGACCCCTGCAACAGCAACCTGCACAACTCTGAGTCTCGGCAGCAGCGCCCTGCAAAAACACCCTGCGCAACTCTGAGCCCCGGCCTGCGGCAGCACCTTGCAACAACACTCTGCTGCAACACCCTGCAACAGCAAGCGCCCTGCGCAACTCTGAGTCTTGGCCTGCACAACACCGTGCGCAACAACACCCTGCGCAACAACACCTTGGGCAACAACACCCTGCTGCAAGGCGCTGCCATGAGACAGCACCCTGCAACACCCCATGTAGAACTGCGAATCTCGACCTGCAGCAGCACGCAGCAGCACTTTGCGACAGCACCCTGCGCAACACTGAGTCTCGGCGCAGCAGCACCCTGCAACAACACTCTGCTGCAACAATAATCTGCAGCAGCACCCTGCAACAGCACCCTGAGCAGCCTCGGCCTGGAGGAGGATCCTGCAACAGCACCTTGCAGCATTATTTTGAGCAACTCTGAGTGGCCTGCAGCAAACACCCTGCGACAGTCTGCTGCCGCACCCTGCAACGGCGCCCTGCAACTGTTGAGCTTGGCCTCTGCAACAGCACCCTGTGCAAACTGCAACAGTGCCCCGCAGCAGCACCCCGCAACAGCGCCCTGCGCAACTCTGAGACTCGGCCTGCAGCAGCTCCCTGCAACGGCACCGTGGCTGCCATGCAGCAGCACCCTGCAACAGCACCCTGGGAAACTCTAAGTCCCGGCCTGCGCAGCACCCTGCAGCACGCAACAGCACCCTGCAACAGCCCCTGGCCGGAATTCTGAGTCTCCTCCTACGCCTTCTTTACTTGAAGTTTGAAACTTTCAGCTATCTGGGGAAAACAATTGTCGCTTGGTCGCTTTGCAGCCCAGCAACCCTGTTGGCATCGTCTCCGAGATGGAGTAGTACATCCTCTGCATGAAGGCGTTGACCGATGCAGAAGCCAGAGCGCTGTGCGAGTGATGTCCTGGCTGAACTGATCGGGTTAGCATGCGCACTTCCGGTATACGACACACACTACAAGGGGCATCCTCGTCCACCTAAAAACCGCTCATCGGCCCCTTGAAATCGGTGACGCGTGCGCAGCAACCGATTGGAGCCAACACCCAGCATGCGCTCGAAGGCGCGTCTGCAAACGCGCTGTCCTGCAACAGAGGCACGGGAGTGGCCTTATAAATCATCGGGCCAATTAGTTCTGGTGTCATGACCACAAGCAGGATTTTTCCAAACCACACCTGACAAACTCCAGAAAACCTGCCGGCGTTCAGACTCGGACTCAGAATCGGATTCATCGTGGATGTCATCGTCGCCCAGCTTGGCGGCTCGGTTGCCGCTCTGCATTGACCAAAGCAGAGCGTCTTGGGCAGGTTTCGACAAGCCCCAAAAGAACCCACAGATCTCCGTCAACTGCTTCACCGAGATGGACTTCCAGCACCTGAAAGCGGTGAAGGAGATTGGGCCAAGTACGTTGCTGGCCACTGGAAACCTTGCGATTCTATGCTGAGGCGGCGCTCAAGTTGCTGCAAACTGAGCCAAGCGCTCATGTGAACACGTGCACCCACAATTTTCCTGACTTTTCAGAACTGCTTTGATTCTCTTGATCGAAGCCCCGTTTTCGGCATAGTTGCCCCATGTGATCTCTTCATCCCGGGTCGAGGCCTTCAAGGCCGCCAAATGCACCAAGGAAATGTCCGCAGTTGTTGGCCTCGGCCAGTCAGAAGTAAGAAAAGGGGTATCGCTCTTTGTGCGAGATCCCAAATGAGACCTAGCATCACTTGGGCTGGTTGCAAAGTACCCCGTTCCCAACTCAGAAGCAGAAATCCCACACCATCAAAGAACTTTAAAACACACCAAGCCACCTTTTTTTAGTGACCCTGAGCCCACACACTCAGTTTGAAAAATGGGAAGCCCGGTTTTCAACATTCAAGGCCAGGCGGCGCGTGGCCTTGAAGCTTGCTAGTGGGACCCCCAATCCAATCTACACATTAACAAGGGCACCCAGGAGATTTTCGCTTCGTAAAGTAAAGTGCAATCGAGGATCCCCTGCTCAGCGCCAGCATCTGAATCAGAGTCTGAGGTTTCTGTCTCTGACGAGGAGCCAGACTCTGATTCTGACTTTTCACTGGACTCTTGCAACGCTGGATCCCACCGCCCTAGCCCGCAGGATTTCGGTGGGCTTCGGCTTCTCGATGCAACGCGCCATTTGCCCATGCAGGCCGAGAACCCAGGAAGCAGTCATGGCCCGAAGGCTACTGATTAGGGTGGGGGTTCCTGCACGTTGTTTCTGATGATGCGCAAAGGGTTACCTGCAAACGGGTTACCTGCTCCAGACGGAGTTGAACGCCTTCACCTTCCAGGGTTCCTTTTGTTTCCAGAGTCTCAGGGGGGCAGCCTGATTTCCTTGCCACAGAACTGAAGCAGCGACAAATCAGCTGTTGGCTGGGTTTGAGCAAGCCAAGAACTTTCAAGCGGTACTTCAAACAGTATTTTGGACACTGCGGTGGCGCAATCAGCATCATACGCATGCACATGCGCGAGGAGGGTTGGCGCACCTGACATGGAGTGCTTGTGCAGATCGTAGTGATTGGCAATCGCCGTAGACACTTCAGCCGGGCAGCGCAACATGTTGGAGATGATTTTGCGCTTGTGCGCATCAACCCTCCATCTTTTCACAGTGGCCCTCTTGTTGTACTCCCCAATGCAAGTGTTCAGAGCTTGGGACAGTGGGAGCCTCTTACCCAAAGTGGCGGAGTGTGCCTCCACCGCCTTGCGAAACTGCCCGACAAACTCCAAGGCGCTGGGCAGCTGCTTCTCTGCAGTTTCTTGGCCGAGACCTGGGAGGGACCGCCGCTTGTGTCTACTTAGAGTCTGAAGGTTCACAAGCTTCAAAGGGTCTGGGCTGAGTAACGGGCGAAGGGATTCATAGAAGAATTCTGCTTCATTTTCCATATGCCTGTACTGCGCTTTGAGGAATTTGAAAGAGGCCAGCAGTGGCCGAAGGTCATCCGAGTCCATGTCATCAGCTGACCACTCCTTAGATTTTGGAAAGCCCCTGGTTACCCAAAGGTTGCCTGTTTGAGCTGACAGAGAATTCCACGTATGTTGCTTCCTTTCCACACATTTTGGCCCGCTAGTAACCACTTGCGAGGAACGCCAGGGTTGTGTTACCCATGGAGCGGATAGGAAGGCCTAACTTAGGAACAATTGGTTGACCGAACCCCACGGTCAAAGACAGCGGACACCAACAACATGTACCATCTTCGCGCGTTCTTCGTGGGTTACGCATTTCCGGGTGACCAAAAAGAGCTGGAACATGGAACTACCAGTTATTTCTAGAAAGCACAGAGTGTGTGAGTGTGTGTGTGTGTGTGTCTAGGCGATGTCTTTTCTGCAGTCACAGTGCGTTTCTTTGTGTGTGGTTGGTGGGTTTCTGCGTGTGTGTATGTTTGTGCGTGTGTGTGTGTGTGTGTGGGGTGTGTGCGTGCAAACATGCAGTGCAATGCTGCCCCTCGGGGGCGTCACATTCTGAGCCACTCCGCTCTTGGGTTTTCGACCAATCACGCCCGGTCACTTGCCCCCCCCCCTTACGGAGCAAAAGGGTTGTTACAATGTGCTTCTGTAGGGCAATTGGCAATGCGATCATTATTTGACACTTGACAGGGTGCCCTTCTCAGGGTCCCATTTGACAAGGTTCCATGCTGTCAACCAAGCCCACAATTGCCTGGCAGCACAGCCCCTTGGTGAAGCCGTCCAGGTACTGGACGCTGAAGGGAGGCACTGTCCTCTCAGAACAAGCGGTGAACTTAATTTTGAGTGGTTCGCGGAACGGGTCGAAGTTGCTGAAGAGGATGTTCTTCAGGTGAACGCTCAGGCTGGCCATGTGGGGAAAGACTTGGCAGGCAGGTGGGTTGCACTAGACTTGTGCTCGGCTGATAGCAAGCTCTGACTGGTCATTTGACGCGTTTCTGGCAAGAGGCATCCGTGCTTTGCGTTTTTGCTATAGTCCAGCTGGTCCAAGCTCACAAACAACTCGTTCACAGTTGATGTGGGCACCAGACAGACCGGCTGCGGCTCAGTTTCCTGGCTAGGCCGATCCTTGACAATTCTCTGAATTGCTCTTTGAAGCTTCTCAGGTTGAGGGTACAGCTGGTTGAGCCATTCGCCAATGTTCTGCTCGTTGGACACCTGGTCTCAGCCACAGTCAAATGTAAAAGGGCTGGCAAGGGAAATTCAAGTAAGCGGTTCTGGAAACAAAAGTAGCGCCTCAAGGAACGCTCGCCAGATCAGATCTCTTGGCGTGTTTGTCTTTGAGTCTTCCTCCAACTTGGCCTCCTCCAGTTTTGTCTCATCCATGGCCCAGGCAGCGACCGAGCAAGCGGGCAAAGCGAAACTTACACAGGCGTGGGCATGTGCGTGTGTTTGCGGCCGAGCTTTTCAGCTGCAATCCAACCCATGACATCCGGCGGACGCATTGCTGCTTCCCAAGTGACCTTTTGGTAGCCATGTAAGTTCGAGAGCCAAATGAGCAAATCGGGAAGACAAGCTGCCGCGACACCTTGGGTCTCTTGCTACATTGCATGGCCAATGCGGTGAGTTGCAAGTATAGCAGGCCAGGTGTGACCGGCCAAATCAAGCGTGTCAACGTTGGCGGGTCCTGCGGCGAAGTATATTGGCACTTCGGGCGAATGCGGGTGCCACTTTCACACACGGTCCTGGGAGATATTGTGCAACTGTCTCAGGACTCATCATCCCCTTGAATTGAGATGCTGGTGACTATACATGTTGAGATTTTCAATCGGCATCTGAGGATAGGACTGTGTTGAGCTTCCGGTTGATCCGAGTCTGGCATCCTGCACGCTGCAAAGTGTCTCTTTGTCCATTTGCTCGCAGGAAATATTTTACCCGGGCCTCAATCTCATTGCAAAAGCCTGCTGCCTTGCACATGTTCACTGCCTCAGGGAAGAACTGTCTCTGACAATTTGGCCCTTCAAATCCAGAATTGAGGCCTGCCTTGAAAGCCATAATCCAAGCTGCAGCTATGCTCCTGAGGTGCATAGCGTTCCCTGACAGGTCGGATAGCTCCTGGCGTTGCGTGGGCGCAGATGCCAAGGACAGCTTGGCGTGTGGCAATCAGACACAACAAGCCAATCCGGCCCAGTCCAGTCTAGTCAAGGTAACCATGCAGTCCTTGCTCGAGTTATTGGACTTGTCCAGCCGGTGCATTGGAAACCCCATGAGGAGCATCTTCTCCGTTGCTGGCGCAGCTTACATTGACACTGCGCATGTGAGGAAAAAAGACGGGCCGCGCCTGAAAGAACCCGATGTTCCTGCCTCAAATAGTAACAGCCACCAGGCCTCATCGAACAAGGCGCAGAAACCCATTAGCGCAAGACGGTGAGGCTTCGGCGTCACGCAAGCGAATGGTTGGCCCAATGAGGTTACAGTTGGCGTTCTGTTGAGATTTTGAGACAGGTCGCAGCAAACCCAGTCAGGCTTGTGAACCGACAGGATGCCCAGCGCCTGCCACTAGCCAGAGCAGAACGTACTTCCTCCAACAAAACAAGAAAAATGAGTTAGGCTCCTGAGAGTTCCGCGAAGGAAGTCCCGTGAACTCTGCAGACGCTGTTTTGGCATCCTCAGGGTTCACCTCAGCCCAAGATCACATCGACGGATTGCAGGGTGGACGTTGGTGTCACAAGCCTTGTTCTGCTTCATGAAGTCCCAATGGATGTGCCGCCATTTAGGCAGCTTTTCCGTTGGCCTCTAGCGATGGGCACCACCAGTAAAGTAGGGGAACAAAATGGCGAGCGGCAACCCTTTTGCTTTGAGGTCTGGGCTTCTGGGTCATGTCGAATTTCTCATCATCCTGGCACGGGCAACCCGCTCTACGTTGGGTAGAATAATGTGATGTTTCACGGCCTCCCGTTTGCGCTTTGGTTTGGTTGTCTCTGAGGCCAGGGACGGCTCAGCCAGTAAGAAAGTGGATCTCGCTCATTGGATCTCGAAGGGTCAAAGGTTTCATGCACCATCTTACAACTGTTTGAGGCCTTGGCCACGGATAGGGGTCAAACACTGTGAGCTGTTGTAAGGCCTCATCCACGCTTGCGTCCATGTTGCTGGTCCGGAGAAAGTCCTATCAAGCGCAACGGTTGCCTTTCGCATCCTACAAGTCGTGTCCATCCCCCCTCCTTGCGGACCATGATGAAATACACCCTGTCTCGATTGGCATTGACGCCCAGCTTATTCCTGGGAGAAAGGCAGTTACAACGGCAGTTGTGAGCAAAAAAGGGGGGGGGCTTCCAAGTTTCCCCGCGGACCTTAAAACGGTACCTTCAAAAAGGCACAAAACACTTTTACACAACTCCAGGGAACAGTTTGGGCGCTGTTTTTTGTGGATCCACCGCTGCAGGGCAAAACGGGGGGCCCAAACAGTCCTAACAAAAATGAACCCGGCGGAAACCTCAAAAACACGAACCAAAACAGTTTCTAGAACAATGTTGACAGCACCTTTTGATGCTTAATGTGACTGTGCCATGTTTCGGATTCAGAGGGCGGATTGCAAGGGCGTAGTTGCCACACAAAGCCAACTCCTTCTTGACCTGTTCCATCACGCGCCAAATCCCGGGCACGTTCTCCAAGAGGCAGACCTGGGCAGGCTTACAAACAGGTTTTGGAATAAGGCTTGGCTGCCCTGTCCTCCATCAGATCTGTTTGAGTCCGAAGCAAACTGAATGCTTTGCACGGAAATCCCGCGCAATAGGCGAAAACCTGGCCAGGACCAATGTGCCAGTGTGCTCAACATGGAAACGCCCTGCCTTGTTTTTGAGACCGTCAATCTTCCGGCATTCCAGGTCGTGATGGAACCTCAAGTGATCGCCCAACTAGAACACACGGCGCACAACAAAAGCGTTGCTGAGGAGAGCACGGCACGAAGGGAAAGTTCCGGCGAATGAATTTGCGTGGCCCAGCCGCTTTATCGCAAGCTGACCTTGCTAGGCAACTGAAGAGTTGTAAGCGTTCCCAGCACAATAGCTTCCACTTCAGACTAGGGGCACATGCCGCAAAAGTTCACTGCGACCAGCCGCTTTCAGCAGCATTTCCAAGGCTAGGATTGGCGCTTCAGCGCCCGAGCCTCCAACTAAACATGGCAAAGCTGAGTTGCAAAACACTTTGAGGCCCTCGCAGTCCGTCATGACTGTTAATGGGCCACGCAGAACACGTATCTCGCGAGTCAAACCTGCGTAGCTCGGGATGAGGAGAGAAAGCAAAAAACAGCTGGCCTGCAGCTTCAACAAAGTCAGGGCCAAACTCAATCGCCCTGACTTGGTCAGCTGTGAGCTGGGTGAGGCCGGTAAGCCTAGGAGAGCCAAATCTCTGAAACTTAAAGAGCCAAAATAGTTTGAGGCTCTAGCGCAACAACACTGCTGTCAGTGCTGCCATTGCCATCGCTGTCGCTATCGCTACTGGAAATTGATTGCATGCCCCTCGCTGGGCTTGGCCCACTAGTAGCTGTGACGGGCGAGCGATTTTCCCAACACTTGGTTGTCAATTGGAAAACACTCAGTTGCAAGTGGACTGACTTCAAAGTGTCCAACCACGTTGATGCCATGCCCATTTGAAGAAGTGTGGATCTCAAGTTTCAATCCACTTGGGGGTGATGGCCAGGGTCTTGAGGCGACCCTCTAAATGTAAAAAGCGCTGGTCAAACAAGCCGCAAGGCATGCCCAAGTCGAGCAAACAGCATGAACGCCCTTGTTCAGAATCCAGCAAATTGCTTCCCGTGTCTTTTAGATTTTGTTCACCTTCCACAAAACGGGGGTCGAAGACGGAACGCGCGTGGAGCCGTCTTGCAGGAGCATTCTGCTCAACGCATGTCTACACTAACCCTCCGTGGCATTTGTTAAGTATCTGCATTTCTGGAGCTTGGGTTTGCCTGGAGAGCTGCCTGTTGGGAATGAAGAAAACTAGCCGAGGAGCTGACCTGTGACGGGAAGCTGACGAAGGATTCGTTGTATTTCATGTGACATGCAGCGGATGCGCAACATTCATCTACCTGAGCATCACGGAGACTAAGACAGACGAGCTTTGTTAGCTCGTTGATCTTGACGATGGCGGCGTTGATCAGGCGGGTTTGGGCGCAACATGCAGGCTGCTTGTGTGGCAAAGGTCTTGGTTGCAATCTGTTCTCTGTGGTCCACAAGAAGCCTCTTAGCCTCGTGAGTTCCTGCTCATTCCCCCGTGCCAAGCTTTGCCCACCGCCTCCAAAAGCCAATTAAGCGCGCAAACCCGGCCAACGCAATATAGCATCATGCATGCTCCACTATCTGTGTGCATTCACCCTAAGTTTGGTAACGAGCTGGAGTAGACAGCTGGTTTAGCTTTTGAGGGGTAAGGGACTGCAGTGCATCCTGCGATGTTCATGATTGCTTCGCCTAGTTTCCTAGTTGTTTGAAGCTTCTATTTGAAAGATGTTGAAAGTTTTTTTTGCAGCCTGAATCATTCCAACTCGTGGATGGCCTTGCATTGTTCCATGTCCAGCATGAGTTTGCCATTGGCGTCAAGCAGTTCCGCGGTCGCGCAGACAGCATCGACCTCTGCAAATTGCGGAAAGAGACTTGGCTGCCAACAGGCTGAACATCGGAGGAAGTTTTTCTAGTTTTGCCTCCAGATGTGAATGAAGGTCAAGTAAACGTTAGAGCCTCCGGCTCAGTCCGCCGACATTGTCTTCTCCCTTTTCTCCTTCTTCCTCTCTCGTGTGTTCTGTTGTCCTCTCTCCCTCCCTCTGCTCCCCATCCTCCCCTTCCCCCCAAGCCTCTCTCTCCTCAATCTCCCTCTCTCTGTCTCTCTCTCTCTCTCTCTCTCTCTCTCTCTCTCTGTTTGTCTGTCTCTTTCTGTCTCCCTGTCTCCTTCCTGTCCACGCCCCTCTACAGAAAATGGGCCCTGCCCTAATTCCTCTACTCTCACTTTCTCGCTCTGTCTCTATCTCTCTCTCCCTCTCTCTCTCCCGCTCTCTCCCTGTCTCTCTCTTTCTCTCTGCATTGCAGCGTCACGTCCCCCCCTGAGTTGCCTCGATGTCCGGGCACCGTTCGTGACCCGGAACTCTTTTCACGTTTCCCATGATGTCCTGGTCATGTCCCTTCCATGCCTCCCAACTCCCCCTACATGTCCCTGACATTTTCTCGGTATGTCCGCTTCATTTTCCACCTTGTGCTTTGTTTCTCTTTCATTCCCCCTGCACTCCCCTTGTTTTCATTTCTGTCCCGCGCACGTCCCTTTCAGTTCCCCTTTTGTTTCCCTTTCATTTCCCGCTGCTTTCCTGTCATGTCGTCTTTGCACTTCCTTGCATTTCCCCTTTGCTCCCCAATATTTCCCGCAAACAAAAACACGGTTTTTCCCGCGTTTTCGCAATTAGGACGTCCAAAAACACATTTTTCCAGATTTTTAACAAAAGGAGGCAGGAACCTCAAACCAGCAAAGAGCCGGCAGGAGGAATCGAGCCTGGGACCCCTGTTTTGCTCCCCGAAGACTACTTTAGTGGAACGTCATCAAATTGCCGCGCGGTCCATGAAGCGGGGGGGGGCCCAAGTATCAGACGTCGGGCGAGGGGGGGTTAGTCTGTTTACCTTGGTCGGTTGACTGCAGAAGTCCTGTCGTTGGCAAGTTGGGCTCTGGGACGGTGATGCGAGAAGCGGATTTCGCAACAATCAACAGGATGGAAGTGCACAGGAACCATTTCCATTTCACATGTTGCTTTCAGGGCAGTGTACTTCCATGTTTGCTGATGGCCCTCCCGGCCCCCTTTGCAGGTGGAGGGACCCGCATGCCCAAGTCTGGCAAACAGCATTAACGCCCTTGCTCAGAGTCCAACAAGTTGCTTCCCGTGTCTTTTAGATCTTGTTCACCTTCCACAAAACGGGGGTCGACGGAACGCGCGTGGAGCCGTCTTGCAGGAGCATTCTGGTCAACGCATGTCTACACTAACCCTCCGTGGCGTTTGTCAAGTATCTGCATTTCTGGAGCTTGCCTGGATTGCAGCTCTGCCTGTTGGGAATGAAGCTTCAGTTTGTCTACGAGTATCCACATGCCCATCTAAATGAAAGGTTCTATCGAGCCATACCTCAAAATGTGATTCGACCCCCAATAGATTGGTCGGTATTTGAAGGGAACCAAGCATCAAAACCATTTAGGGTGGTCGATGTTCGTCGAACAAATCGAAAACTAGCCGAGGAGCTGACCTGTGACGGGAAGCTGACGAAGGATTCGTTGTATTTCATGTGACACGCAGCGGATTCGCACCATTCATCTACCTGAGCATCACGGAGACTAAGACAGACGAGCTTTGTTAGCTCGTTGATTTTGAAGATGGCGGCATTGATCAGGCGGGTTTGGGGGCAAGATGCAGGCGGCTTGTGTGGCAAAGGTCTCGGTTGCAATCTGTTCTCTGTGGTCCACAAGAAGCCTCTTAGCCTCGTGAGTTCCTGCTCATTCCCCCGTGCCAAGCTTTGCTCACCGGCTCCAAAAGCCAATTAAGCGCGCAAACCCGGCCAACGCAATCTAGCATCATGCATGCTCCACTATCTGCGTGCATTCACCCTAAGTTTGGTAACGAGCTGGAGTAGACAGCTTGTTTAACTTTTGAGGGGTAAGGGACTGCAGTGCATCCTGCGATGTTCATGATTGCTTCGCCTAGTTTCCTAGTTGTTTGAAGCTTCTATTTGAAAGATGTTGAAAGTTTTTTTTGCAGCCTGAATCATTCCAACTCGTGGATGGCCTTGCATTGTTCCATGTCCAGCATGAGTTTGCCATTGGCGTCAAGCAGTTCCGCGGTCGCGCAGACAGCATCGACCTCTGCAAATTGCGGAAAGAGACTTGGCTGCCAACAGGCTGAACATCGGAGGATGTTTTTCTAGTTTTGCCTCCAGATGTGAATGAAGGTCAAGGAAATATTTGGGAAGGGCAATGGGCTGTTTACCTCACTCGGTTGACTGCAGATGTCCTCTCATTGGCAAGTTGGGTTCTGGGACGGTGATGCGAGAAGCGGAGTTCGCAACAATCAACAGGATGGAAGTGCACAGGAACCATGTCCATTTCACATTTTGCTTTCAGGGCAGTGTACTTCCATGTTTGCTGATGGCCCTCCCGGGTCCCTTTGCAGGTGGAGGGACCCGCATGCCCAAGTCTGGCAAACAGCATTAACGCCCTTGTTCAGAGTCCAACAAGTTGCTTCCGGTGTCTTTTAGATCTTGTTCACCTTCCACAAAACGGGGGGGGACGGAACGCGCGTGGAGCCGTCTTGCAGGAGCATTCTGGTCAACGCATGTCTACACTAACCCTCCGTGGCGTTTGTCAAGTATCTGCATTTCTGGAGCTTGGGTTTGCCTGGATTGCAGCTCTGCCTGTTGGGAATGAAGCTTCAGCTTGTCTACGAGTATCCACATGCCCATCTAAATGAAAGGTTCTATCGAGCCATACCTCAAAATGTGATTCGAGCCCCAATAGATTGGTCGGTATTTGAAGGGAACCAAGCATCAAAACCATTTAGGGTGGTCGATGTTCGTCGAACAAATCGAAAACTAGCCGAGGAGCTGACCTGTGACGGGAAGCTGACGAAGGATTCGTTGTATTTCATGTGACACGCAGCGGATTCGCACCATTCATCTACCTGAGCATCACGGAGACTAAGACAGACGAGCTTTGTTAGCTCGTTGATTTTGACGATGGCGGCATTGATCAGGCGGGTTTGGGGGCAAGATGCAGGCTGCTTGTGTTGCAAAGGTCTCGGTTGCAATCTGTTCTTTGTTGTCCACAAGAAGCCTCTTAGCCTCGTGAGTTCCTGCTCATTCCCCCGTGCCAAGCTTTGCTCACCGGCTCCAAAAGCCAATTAAGCGCGCAAACCCGGCCAACGCAATATAGCATCATGCATGCTCCACTATCTGCGTGCATTCACCCTAAGTTTGGTAACGAGCTGGAGTAGACAGCTTGTTTAACTTTTGAGGGGTAAGGGACTGCAGTGCATCCTGCGATGTTCATGATTGCTTCGCCTAGTTTCCTAGTTGTTTGAAGCTTCTATTTGAAAGATGTTGAAAGCTTTTTTGCAGCCTGAATCATTCCAACTCGTGGATGGCCTTGCATTGTTCCATGTGCAGCATGAGTTTGCCATTGGCGTCAAGCAGTTCCGCGGTCGCGCAGACAGCATCGACCTCTGCAAATTGCGGAAAGAGACTTGGCTGCCAACAGGCTGAATATCGGAAGATGTTTTTCTAGTTTTGCCTCCAGATGTGAATGAAGGTCAAAGAAATATTTGGGAAGGGCAATGGGCTGTTTACCTTGGTCGGTTGACCGCAGATGTCCTGTCATTGGCAAGTTGGGTTCTGGGACGGTGATGCGAGAAGCGGAGTTCGCAACAATCAACAGGATGGAAGTGCACAGGAACCATTTCCATGTCACACCCGGTCCCCTTTGCAGGTGGAGGGACCCGGCGGCGATCTTATTTTTGTCGCAGTGATTGGCATTTCTCTACCGGAACCTGGTATTGGTGGCTAGGGTTAGATCCCAGTGCCAGTTGGGGATTGTTCTCTGGTGGGTTTCATGTTAAGTTCCATAGGTAGACATCACAGTTGACTTCCCTGACAGCCGCAGCGGTAAACATGGCCTGTCCAGTGTGAACACCGTCAACCAGAAGATGTCTTCGGCAGTTTGTGCTGGAGAAGAGAAGACGGGGCATACCGGGACCAATGCGTGAATCTGCCAAAGCGCAAACTTAGACTCACGGCCATGTTTCATTTTGTGCGATGAGACTTGCCACGGTGCTTAGGGAGATCCGATCGCAACTGTGAAATGTAAGTTGCGTGCGCCAGCTTGGCGTGAAACCACTTCATGTCGCTTGCTTTCGCAGCGGCTCCGGCCCCGTGGGTTGCGAAATGTGTCTCATTCCATGACGTATGTGGTCCCGCTGGGCCTGCGTCCTGGCTGTGGCGCTTGCGGAGCGCGTCCATTTGGCGGAGCAGGCTTGTAGATGGTGTCCTAACGTCTGAGTTCCTGGTCTTGGGTCACTTTTTGGGAAATCCATTTGGTGGTAAACAAAAATCAGACTTTCTTGGCCAACCCACTCAGGAAGTGAGGGCAACCTTTGTTGGACTCTTGTTGAATAGCCACTGCAGTAGTTGGAATCCCCTGGTTTAGGATATGACAGGTATACGTTGCCTGGGTACGGAAGCGGTGCAAGCCCATTTGTACCAAGCGTCAGGGAAAGCGCGTGATCTTCCAAAAGTATTGGTTACTTGCAACTTAGTGTTCTTTCCAGATTACTAGTTTTCCCACATCCTCCTGACCGCTTTCATATTTAGGAGGAGGGAGCATCAGTCCTTGTATCTCTCATGTTGGGACTTAAGCGTTACCTTCTTGGAGAGGCAGGTAAGTGTCCTTTGGAAAGTCGGTGATGTCTGTAGCTTGGACATGTAAGGAACTATGAGGGGATATTGATATGAGGGATATTATTAGGTGAGTGCGCTCGCAAAGGGGGGGGGTTGCGTTCCAAGCCCTGACAAATGCAGCTCGGGGGTCCTTTTCTCATTTCAGGGCGCTGAATCATTACAGGTCACCCAGAGCAATGTTTGCAAGGTAAAGCGGTGGTTAGATCTCGTAGGCCTCCGAAAATCTTTGTTTTTGTTAGATGAAAGAAGCTACTGTGAGTTGGAGAGAAAGTCACTCAGCCTTTTTAAGCAACACGTCTGGACAAATGCCCATTGTATTCCGGATTTTTCCTGGTATTGCCCGGCGTTTGGCTAGGAGTTTGGCTTTGAAGGACCACACCCTACCCCTGTTTTGGTGGATTACGAAAGGAAAGCCACAAAAGGTCCCCCCCACAAAGACAGATCTATTTATGGGGTGGAAGGCACTGAGCTTGCGCAGGTGGGCCTGTTGGAGGAGCATTTGCCGGAGCTCAAATCATGTGAGGATCTTTCAGGGGGCTACCAAGTGCCCAAGGAGCGAAGTTTGAGTTCGGATGGAATGGTTTATGTCAAGGGTTTGAAAAAGGAAAAAACAAAAGCAATGCTTGCAAGAGCGCTTCGCGGCAAACAAGTTGAGCTTTTGGTTTTCAGGAGGCCTTTTGGATGCAGCTGCAGTCGGTTCCAGGCTCTGGAGCTCTGAAAGCTCTGAAAAAGAAAGGGTTCGATTCGTGGAAAGCGATTTTTGCAAGAAACAAGGGGGGATGTTCAGGTGTCAAAAAGAGGACTGGGGTTCATGTTGGTTTCCCTTTAACAAAGACTCGAACAGGGGGGAATCTTGATTCGATCTTCGATCTTCGGGAACAAACTGTCAAGATTTTAGACAAACTTTTAAGCTTTTGGGTTCGGTCAGGATAGATTCTCAAACAGGATTGGCGATTTTCTCAAAAGGTTTACGTGGAAGCTTCAATCTTCGATCGTCGATCCAGGCGAGCAAATTCTGAAGAATACACTGCTTCTTACTGCGCTATGTGGCCAGGAAACAGATTCATGGATTTTGAGATACTTTCTGTACTTGGCTTGGCTCAGTTCTTGCCTGCTCTAAACCACATGGCATTAGATAAGGAACGTGACCCTGTCGAAAGTTATATTAATTGTAGTTTCATTTGTCAATGTCAATTGTTGTTTTCTCCACTTGTTGACGGTCGAAATACAATAGGAAGTGCTTGGTTCGAACTCGAACCATGATGTGAAATTAGCTCTTTTTTATATTTTTGCTTCTCATAGAATGTATTGACAATGACAAGTCAAAGTAGATAAGCAACACAGAAAGTTGATAGGATTTGCATTGCCACGTCAAACTAAACTATTCCCCAAGTTAATATTCAGCCATTTTTCCGTGCAAAGCAAGAACTAACCTGGACCTTTCACTGATACCTTTTTTTGGCTCGCTTTCTTTTCTGCGGCCCTTCAAGATGGGCCCTTTTAGGCTTTTAGGGGGCCCCACAAATCCGCGGGAAACGCAAGGAGGGCCTTGAGCTGGAGACCTGCACTGTTGGCAAAGCCGTCGTTCAGGCGAAGGGCTAGAGCCGCAGAGCAAGATGTCTGTGGTGGAAAAGGGGAAGCTGACCCCCTCAACGTGTTGACTTTGGTGGACCCTATAGCCCCGGTTGCCAACTAGAGGGTTCCAAGGTGCTCCGTGTCTTTCTTTTTATCATGCGCTCAAGATATTTATCCTTGTTGTGTTTAAAAGCACTTGGTCATGCTGAGCAAAATATGTCCTTTAGTGACGCCTCAACACATAGATGATTTGGACAGGACTTGATTGGCTCCAAGATGTTGCCAGCAGATGCGGCTTCCGTTATACCGAACTCTTCCGGAGTGAGCAAGTAAGTTCACCTCCATCAAGACAGCTTGTGCTGTATTGCTAGGTCTGCTATGTTGCGTGTGAGCAAGTTGTCATGAGGGTTCTCGTGTTGCATTGTTATCCCACTCGCTGTCCTGAATGGCTTCGAATAGTGCTGGTTGGAAATAGAGCCAAAGGAGTGCTTTCCGCTTGCATGTAAGCCCATGGTGTAGCACACAGCCCTTGGACGCACACGCTTGCAACACATGTGCGCGTTGCCCCAAGAGTCTGGTTACTCACTCAGCGCAGCAGTTGGTTCTTG